AGATGGTTGTGAGCCACCATGTGGGTGCTGGGAATTGAACTCAGGACCTCTGGAAGAGCAGTCAGTGCTCTTAACCTCTGAGCCATCTCTCCAGCCCTTGATTTCACTTCTTGACAGGGCCGGCCTTTCTACGTTCGTAATTTGTCCTCTTTGTTGAAGTTCTTCCTGCCATTTCAACAATGTGTGGGGAAAGCCATGCAACATTATGCTAAATACAGGAAGCCGCTCATAGGTGAATGCTGCATGCTCTCAGGCATATGTAGAATCTAAAAAGATTTAGTTTGGAGAGGCAGGGTGTAGAATGATAGCTGTCAAGGGCTGGGGCGGGGGCTAAGGTGCTTAGCTCCCATTATGGAAGACGAGGAAGTTCAAATGTTGTGGTGTACGGCCTTGCGCCTCTACATAACAAATCACCTCACACAGGGAGCAGCCCGGGAAGAGGGTAGATATCCAGGCAAGTGTTCAATCCATGGAGTAAGTAGTGTGCCTGGCAAGCACAAGGACCTTGCTTCTATCCTGAGTATGGAAAAGCAAGGGAGGGAAGGAGCGCTTGAGTTCAACAACGGATCCTCAGATGCAGGAGGCCCGGCCTTCCCAGGGGCACCCTGGCCTGTAGCACACCAAGCTGACCTCACCCTGGATGGCAGGATTCTCCTGGTACTACCCTGGCTAGTAGGCCTGAATAAGCAAGTTATGTTGGTTTCAGCAGGCCTTGTGTGCTGGGCTCCATCAGCCATGTCTACCTGCTGTATACACTGTTGCTGTTCCCCCCAGGGTCAGAGAGAGGTGGCCACACAACCCTTGCTGCTGCAAAGTACCCGCCTCTCCAGGCCTCTTCACTGGATTATTCAACTGTGGGTTGGGACCAGATGTGTGACACCCACTATTTAAGTCCAGGCATACGACACCTGGCATTGTAAAGTGAAGCCATAGGCACAGACTGGGGTTTGATCCACCCTGGCCTTGCCCTCAGTGATATCCCTGGGATATCGCTTGGAACCAGAAGTCTCAGAGGCCAGCTGTGGCCTTGCACATTCCTTATGAGGTAGGTTAAAGTGATACCTTCAGAGCTGTTTCTTCCCCTCAGGAGCTTTAAAACCAGACTAGGACCATGGGGCCAGTGAATGGCCCTTGGAGACTGAAAATAACCAAGATCTCTATGAAGTTTCTGCTTCCATGGATCCTCACGAGTCTGGATTTTGTCTGATTTAAGGGTTTGCACTGCTGACTGGCAGCAATTGAGAGAGGCTGAGTGTTGCCAACAGGAGACTAGGTCATGGACCATGATAATAACAGGGAGGTCAGGGTGCCCAAGGATGCTGGATCTGGGGGAAGGTCACCTGCTTCCATGCTGCTTGCCTACCCTGCCAGTCGGGGGAGTCAGGAGATGCTGAGGCACCCTGAAGGTGGTGACAGAACAAGACCCAGACTGACAGACTGAACACTCCATTTGTCTCTGGGCTGCTTTGACAGAGTCATTCTGTTAGCTCTAGACCGCAGGAAGGAAGGAAGGAAGCACACCTGTTCTCTGGGAAGTACCACATGATTTTCCTGGTACTGAGTTGGGGTGCTTACAACAGATGGGGGGACATGTCGTCTTTGGCTAGAGCATGTTAACAGAAAGTGTGTGAAAGCTTGTCTCAGGGCTGGGCAGGACTTATCATCCTCAGCCCCATGCCAGGGTCCAGTGCCTTCCCATCAAGCACTCAGCCTTCCCCCATAGACCCTCCCGTACCCCACTCAGATGCCAAGATGAGAGTGAGGGCATGGACCACTTTTCTCTCTCTTTCTTTCTTTCTTTCTTTCTTTCTTTCTTTCTTTCTTTCTTTCTTTCTTTCTTTCTTTCTTTCTTTCTTTCTTTCTTTCTTTCT